CCCCAAAACCCCAAAACCCCAAAACCCCTTTTTGGTCTTTAAGAATAGAATATTAATTATTTGGAATGAATGGGGGTCTAAGATCGCACTTGGAGAGATTCGTTCCTTCGGGTTCAGTTCAAGCAAACTTTGTAATAGATTTATATAGTGCTGGTTTTTATTAAGGCTAGAAGTGTGGCATTTCTTGAAGAAAGATTGGAGGACTTTGTCAAGAAATAATTTTGTTTTTGGTAGATTTTACCTCAGTTTCTTCTTTAGACACCAAAGATACTTCTTCCAAGGATCTGCTTGCCTTTAGTTTTTGTTTTGTATTTGAGACTCAGTCAGATTGGAAACCCTGTTTCTAGTTTTAATAAGATAACTCAAATTGACCACATATCTGAACTCCAAGCTTTCATAGATTGAAGTAAATCTGAGGCTGATTTTTTAAGATTTTGGCTTACTTTTGTTGTCAAGATATGACAATATTTCTGGTGGTAAATACTCAGGAGTTATGAGGGAAAGCTCCTAGCCTTGCTAAATTCATAAGCTGATCCCAAGTCTATTAATTTTACATCAATAATATCTCCTTCCTTTCAGGTCACCAAAATGTTGTCCGATTTCACATCAGCATTCACACTTCCTAACCTTTTTTGCAGTAAATCAAAATTCTTGGAATAATTTTTGCAAGAATTGTTTCAAAACTGATTTATTTTCTTTGAGCTTGTGATACAAATCAAGGTGATGAATAAAACAAATCCTTTCACCTTTCTAAAACTCTTCTTTTACTTTCCTCTCAAATCACTCAAAGATCTTCCTCCTATCTCATAAAGAAGGAACATATCTCTACTCCCCCACTAAATTCCCCCAAATTTCTAATCCTACACACCCAAAATTTCCCTTAAACAGCTCCAAAACTCACTATCTAAAAGCCTCTACCACAACCTATACCCTCCTTCAGCTCCTCTACACCTTCAAAACCCCCTCATCCACCTCCTTAACCCCCTTTTCACCCCTTCCCTTCCTGTCGCCTCCACCCCCTCAATTCCTTCCTTTAAAATCCCCCTTTCTATCTCAATAAGTCCTTCTTGAGGGTCTCTTTCTCGCCTGGGCTGGTTCTTAATTTTGGCTCTGTTGCAGGTGTGGGATTTGGGGTGTTTATTTAGGGAGGGTAAGGGGCCTTTGTTTGTAGAGGGATTTGGGGGATGGGGGAGAGGTTAAGGAGGAGATTTTTGGGATAGGTTTTTATGTGGTTTTTGGGGGATGAGGAGGGGGTAATAGTTGGTTGTTGATTAATTTGGGGGATTTTAAGTGGATTAGCCGGTTTATGAGGAATTTTGGGCTTTTTTATAAAAAAAAAACAATTTTCAGTTTCTTTTTGTTAGTTTTTCTACCTCATATTACAAACTTCTATTTGTAAACCATCTTTTCTAAAATTCTTTACACTGACTATCTCTCTCTGGCTAAGCTCTGCATTTCCCTACTATTTAATAACTAAACAACGTCACATCTACTAAAAACTCCCATTAATATTTCTTCTACCCAATTCTGCACCCAGTATTTCCCTTTCTACGCAATAATCCCACCTATTCTCCATAAAATTCTTCTTCAAAGTATCAAAAATGGTTCATAGTCCTTCTAAATTACTCCAACCTCCAAATTCAAGTTTAAGTTGCAAGACTCTTGTCATCTTCAATTTCTTTGCTATCATATGATCTGTCCGGTGTCAGCACCAAATCTATATGAGGGACTTTTGGTTGGAATCCCTTCGGCTTCCCATGAAACTCCTTTCAAGTAGTTTAAGCCAAAGCCAAGGTTCTCCTTGGCTTTGGCTTAAAGAGACCGCTTGAAAAATGTGTGGACTTGACGTTGTTGCTTTCATCAGCTGATTTCATTTTCTTCTTCACTGAAGGGATGTAACTTGAGCCTGCCTGGCTCTGGCACGTTTTCCAGTTCTTCAGAGGTTTGGTTTCGCTGCTAAGAGGATAAAAGGATCAGGCTTGCTTGGGGCTGTAAGTGCAAAATTTAATTTCTTAGGTGAGAATTTAAACCTACTGATGTGTTTTGAAATTTGTAGCTTTAGTGAGGTTGAAGGAAGAAAAGTTTGAACCTAGGAGATCATTACTGTTTAGTTGATGCTTTATAGTTGATTCGGAAACATGGGAGGCGGTGTCGCTGACTTTGGGAGAATTTGGAGAGATAGGTGCTTTGTGAATCTTAGAAGATATCATAGATTTTCTAGGGTTTGAAATCGAATTATCTTTCTTTAGATAATTATTTTCTGGTAGTGGTTTGGTTTTTTGGTTGATGCTAAGTTTAGACTCAGAAATAATTCAGAATGAAGATCTATAAACCCTATAATTAGCTCGCAGACATTCGAAATGACAGTACAGAGGATACCTAACCCCCCAGAAATGTAGAGATTTTCTTCTGTCCCCAACTCCCGCCTCAACCTCCTCCAAAATTCCATAATAATCAATAAAACTCACTTTGCTTTCACCGTCCTGCTACTTTCCTCTAATTTGAATTTCCTCAAATTTCTTCCTTTCTTTGTTTGTACATGAATCCCAGATTCACTAAAATTGCTCTTTACCTTCCTCATTTTCAACTTCTTTAAGCCTTTTCTTAATCTTTTCCTTGAGTGAGCTCCTTCAAGGACTTTTCTGTTAAAATTTTGGCCAAAAATGATAATTTTTTAGCTTAGAAAAATCTTCAGAGAACTTAATTATACTCTAAAGGCTCTAAAAATTATTCTATACTACCTTAATAATCTTTAAACCCCACTTTAAGATTGTATAAACTGATTCCATACCTATTTCAAAATATTATTCTTGGCTGAATAGAGAGAGTTACTATAAAATTATTCAAACAAAACTTACTCAGTCCTTCTTTTACTACTTTCTTGAACTCTAGCTTTAAGGTCTTTCATGAAAAATTGTAATTTGCTCTTTTGTCATTTTTCAATAGGCTTTCAAGGGTTGCTGCAGAAGATTGTCTTATACTTACTAGTTTTGCTGAAGACTTTTTAGATATTGCCAAGTTTGCAGAATGATTCAGCACCTCTTTATTAGCACTTCTAGTAGCGATTTGAGTTAAATTTGCCTCAGAAAGATGATTCAGTTCAAGATCTTCGAGATTAACTTGAGCCTTAATGATACTCTTAACCCCAGATAAAGGAATATATTAAGAAGTTAGATGATCAAGAGGTACTTTACCAATCACTGAGAGCTTTGTCTTGAGGCTATATATTCTATCCATTACTTTTTCCCCCATATTTGTTAATATAATTGTCAACAGTCAGCTTCCATTTTGGGGTTTTGGGGTTTTGGGGTTTTGGGGTTTTGGGG